AACATATTGTCCATATGTTATCCTGTCAGCATATCCCTTTGTTCAACAGACCTATCATGAGCACACCTCTTAATTTGGCCTTTTTCCAGTGCCTGACTTTAGGCATTGTCCATTGGTCTCCCTTATCACCTTCCATTAACATATCCAATCATTTCATCCCTCTGATTCAGCTGGTTAGTGTCAAGTTCAGTTAATTTGAACTGGTAACAGAATTATTACTATGTTGTGTTAGAAAAACTTCTCATAGTAATAGAAAAGGAAAGAAACATCATGCGAGCAAGCTCAAGGCCATAAGCTGCTTGCAAGAGGCAAGGCCAGCTGATATTGCAGACACCAGCAAAATGAACAATTCAGATAATAGTGAGGCTATACAGAATTTATAGCTGAATATAAAAGTAAACTTTAAACAATACTATAATTCACAACTCTATAAATAGGTACAACTTTAAAGCATAAAATATGACAAGCTACTCTAACAGGTGTCTTTACTTTATATTTTCTTATTCTTTGTGCTAATGGTTCCACGCCACACACAAACAGTAGTGGCCACAGGAAGAACCCTTGTCTCACCCCTGTATGGATTTTAAAGGCCCTGCTTAGATACCCATTAATTTGGACTTGACTCTCTGCTTTTCTATACAATAACTTTAACCAAAACATATAAATTTCTCTGGGAACCCTGTTTTTCCTAGCACCTTGAGTATGTAATCATGATCTACTCTGTCATGTTTTTTCTAAACCTAGGTTTGCTATAACTGTGTTTGTTTTCCTCTCTTGGATGTGGGACATTGTATCTTTTATTGATTCAGAGATCCTTTTACCTGGTACTGTTCACACTTGGTCTTCATGTATTATCTTCTAGAAGTTTTTTCTCATTCTCAAAGCCAGCATCTTGGCCATTAATTTATAATCCATATGAAGGAGTGTAATTGGTCTCCAGTTTTCAGGAGTTCCTTCTTCCCTTTCTTGAAAATCACAACACCTCTTGTAAAAGCTTTCCCTGTCTCTCCAGTTTCCTCTATTTCCTTGAACACTTCCACTATACCCCTCCCTACCCATGCCCAAAACTTCTCATAATTCCATAGGCTGTCCATTTGCTCCTGGTGATATCCCTGTTTTAAAAGTTTTTAAATGCTCCTCCACTTCTTTAAGCTTATCTTTTCTTCAATCTACTTTGCTTCCTCCTCTACTTTCTCTTCAATCTTTTCCAAGAAATCCTTCATCTTCTTCCAGTCTGTTTTCTTCTTCTGTTATAGCTGTTCATAAAATCTTCTCGTTGCCTCCAATACCTCCTCGTGTGTTTCCACCCAGGCACCAACTTCTTCCCACACTGCTTTAAGCTGTCCTTTTGCCATCTTCTGGCCAAAAAATATTGGAACCACTCTTCATTTTCTCCCACGGAGGGTGCTTGTGGTAAGAACATTTTCTCTCTCATCTTTCTTTTAAACCAGGTTTCTAACTCTTGCCTTGTTTCTTCTAGCTCTTCTGATACCTGTCTTCCTTCTGCAGCTTCCTTTAGCAGCTCCTGCATCTTTCTTTGCAGCTCTCTTAGCAAGTCTTTTCTTTTCCCCATGCATCTTCAGCCTTCCTTCCTGAAGAATTCTCCTGTCCTCTTTATCACCATTCATGGTTGTCTGGTACTCCCAAAATATTTCTTCAGTGTTCACCACCCTTCATACTGCCACGTGTATGCTTGACATATTTCTTCATCTTGTAACATCTGCATATTTAATTTCCACAGTCTCTTCCCTCTTATGGGGCTCTTACCAAGACTCATTTCCACTTTCAGCATCTGGTGATCACTAAAAGCCACGTGTATGGTTTCTTTCTTCTTTATTTCCACTTCTTTTAATACAGGCACAAAGTCAATTCTTGATTGTTTCTTTCCACTAGGGTCTGTTCTAGTGAAAACTTTCTCCCCTGCCCACACATCTCTTAGCAACTCTTGTTTTGTTATATATGTCAACAGTCTGGATGAGATGTCTAAAGCTCTTTCCTCCTTCCCTGTTCAGTCACCCACTTTGATTATATAATTGAAATCTACTGCTATTATGCGCAATCTTCATGTGCCTATGTAGACCTCTAGCAATACGTTCCTTTCCTCACCCTTTGGTGGTGCATATATATTGAAAATTTCTAATTGTGTTCCCCTGACTGATAGTATTGTTCACTGCAATCTGCCGCTGCTGACTTCGACCTGCTTTGCCTTCAGCTTTGGGTTCTTGAATAATACTGCTACCCCTGCTGCCTTGTTCTCATTTGTCCCTGACCACAAGATGGTCCCCATCTTCACCTTTTCTCAAAATATTTAAAATCCCTCTCCTTGGTATACCACAGTCTTCTTATAAGCAGATTATGTCTGTCCTTACTTGGTACAACACTGGTTCAATCTGTTTCCATCTTTTCCTTGTTAAGATACTCCTGATGGTAAGCAAAACTATTGTCAATGCCATTTGTGCTTGTTTTAAAATACAGGCTCCTGTCTCTTTAAGGTTTGTCTGTGCTTGCTTTCTGCTGAGCCTGCCTGTCCTTTTAAGATCTGTCTGTGCTACTGCTCAGAGTGGTCAACCCCTCTCCTTCCCTCACTCGCATTCCTATAGCCTTTGTAAGCTGCCAGATTGGTTTTGCATTTAGGAAGGCTTGCATATTCCTGCCTCCCCACTGCTTCCCACCTTCTGGGCTCCAGTCTGGATTGGAGCCCAGAGGTGTCAGTGGCTCTTCCTCTGACTCACCTCCTTCATTATCAGGTTTCTTCTTCCTGGTCTTCAGCCCCCTGTGTTTTTTCTTTCTTTTCCCAGCCTGTCTCTTTGGTTCTTTTTCTTGCTCCATCTCTACTTCTGTTGTCTGTAGAGGGCCTTCTTTCTTCCCCACCCCACCTTCATGTGTGAGCTGTTTGCTATTCCCACCTTCCCTTCCAGTCCATCTCTTATCTCTCGCTGTACTACCTCAGTCACAGAAATTTTGCCCCCCTCCTCTGTTTCACCCTCCTGGGGGGTTTCTTCCAGCATTTCTATCTCAGTGTCCAACTCCTCCTCTTCTGCACCTGGTTTTGCTGTTCCTTAGTGGGTCTGACTATACTTGCAAAGGCTTTGTGGCACTTACGGATACAAGTGTCCTTCTCCCTTACAAATAGTGCATTTTACGGACTCTGCTGCTCTGTGCCCTTCACATCTGTAGTACACTGTGAGGGGATAGTGTGCAGACAGGTGCCCCACCTTTTTGCATTTGCTGCACCATTTTGGTTGCCTGTGGTACATTAAAAAATCCCAGTGTGCCCTGATCTGGATCACTAACCAGCACCCCACCTGGGCTTCACTCATCCACTTGTAACACTAGTTGTGTCCTCCCAGACCCCGTCCAGATACTGTATTTATTCCTTACTTTCTCTGTGAACATGGCCCTTTGGTCATACTTTTCCATCCATCTTTCTGTGTCTTCTGCTTCTAGCAAATCCATGTGCATTCAAACTATAATCATGCTTTCTCTTGACTTTTCTCTGTTATGAGTTTTATCCCTTTTAATTCCTCCTTTCCACATTTCTCTGCAGATTTTTTCCAAAGGTTCTCATACCCTTTTTCATCCCAGTAAGTCAAGTCCCAAGTCTTTTGGTTCAAGAAAGCTATCGGGCTGGTGAGATGCTCCACTGGCACCTCCAAAATCTCAAACAGTACCTTTTCTAGGGAATCATATCTATTCATTGTTGATCCTGTCTGCCTCCCCATTGTCAGTCCCTTTGCCAGTTAAAGTTGCCTTTATCTGCAACCTCCGCTCCTCTCTAGCTGTTCTCAGTGTTTCTTCCATGTGTTCCCACTGCACCACTCCCTGTGGGCTGACTTGCTGTTGTGTTGCTGCTGTCCTCTGCTGCTCACTCCATGTACCTTCTCCTGCTGCTCCCACTCTGTCTCCCACTTTCCTCTGCTCCTCTCTTCCTTCTGGCATCATCACTGTCATCATTGCTGCCTCTGCTGTTGCTCCTACTGGCACCTTCTTTCTTCCTTTATTCTCCACCTTTGTCCACACTCCATCTGTCTCCAGACTTTCATTTCTGTTCTTCAACATTTTTTTCCATCTCATGCTTATTTGCCATCACTGCAATTCATGTATAGTTTCTACTATATGTAAGTGGATACAAAAGTGCTGTATAAAAGTGTGTTTATGGAGTACTTGTGCTAAAGCTTACAGCATTTTCAAGAAAGGTAAAACGCATCAATTCTGGATGACCTAAGTCTATGGGTAATTTACCTATGCAAATTACTGCAGGCATATTTATTTCAAGGTGTTTTCAAATTTGCCCCCCACTTCCATGTGCTCAGGGAGAGCAGGGTCTGACAGTAAGGAGGTGGGGACTACAGGGGAAGGAAGTTGTAGGGGGCAGAAGGTAAGGGGGCGACCTGATACCCCAGATATATTTTCTCAAATGTAGCAGGGGGAGGGGGACAAATTCAAGGCAAACCTCCAATAATTAGATTCTAGACCTGGAAAATTATAACATTTATAATTCTTCCATATATAGAATCTAATTATAAGAACGTTTTCTTATATTCAAGTAAATACTGTGGGTAAGATGCATAAATCAGGGACATCTTTGGTTCCAACACTTTGCATCTGAATAAGCAAAAGTTGCAGTATAAGTGCTCAGCAGTGTAGAATAAGACTCTAATCTGTAACTAATCCTAAAATATAGAAAGAGAAAAACAGGCAAACTAACTGTTATGGGAGAGCAGAATTGTCTCTGAAGTGCTGCTAGAGGTTTGATTTGAAAAACAAGTAATGACATTTTTAATGCTGTCATTGAGAACCACAGTGAATTACTAAGTACATGATGGTTGTACCAAGACCGTAATATGCAGCAGCCTATGTCCAGTCACATGTGATGGGTTTTAGTTACATGACTTGTAGTGAATCAAGGTGCAGAATCAGGTCCAGAGTCAGAAATATAATTCAGAGTACAGCATAGCAAATTACATCTCATCCACTAATTCTTTCTTTCTTCCTTTCAGGAACAAGTCCAGAAGACTAAAGACATGTTAAATAATGTGGCTTTGGATGAAGCCAATTTGGAAGTCAAGATAGAAAAAAGAAAATTGGAACTGGAAAGAAACCAGAAGCGACTTCAGACCCTACAGAGTGTCCGGTAAAGACTGTGTACTGATTATTCATGGCAGAATAAGATTAGGTGTTGATAACCTGTATTCTTAATATCTAGTACAGTGAAGAGTGAAGCATGCCAGCTGGCAGCCTGTGGGACTCCTGGTCAGGGTGCCACTCCCAATTTGCTTTTAACTGCTGCTGCTAGAGTCCCTAGGTTTTCCATCCTTTCTCCAGCTTCTGCTGCCTGTCACCGTCCCTTGGTGACAGAGTGGCACAACTAGTGGGGCTGAGGGATCTGGTGATCACAGGCCTTTAAGGCAGGGCTGGGAAACTCCTCACAGGTGTGCCAGAGTGAGGCACGTGAAGGCATTTTGCTTGGCACTCATGCCTCAGGGAAGGGGCCAGGGCTGCGCTGCCACAACAAGGATTAGGCCCCTCACGGCTGCCCCACTGTCTACCCCTGGCATGGCAACATCTTACAAGTCGAGGTTGCAGGTGTTTTTGACACTCTACCCAAAACCATTGCCAACCCCTGCTTTAAGGGATCTGGGGATTCCACATGGCATTGGGGAGGCTCACCCAGTTCATTGGGGGGCTACATGGTGCAACAAGAGGGGTTTATACAACAGGTCAGAGGTCTGTGTGGTGCAGCAGGGGATGCTTGTGCAATGCAACAAGGGTCTGTGAGGTGAGGTGAGGTGAGGTCTCATGTCTCAGCCTAATCAGGCCCACATTAAACTGGTTGTCTACTTATACTCCGTTTTAAAGACACTGGGGATAGAGCCTTTACAATGGAAAGCCGTGCTTTGGACTAGACTAATAGAAATGCAGTGGCATGGAAGTACATGTTTCAGAGTTCTGCAGCAACAAATAGATTTGATTTTCCATGTTGTTGTCCCTGATCTCTCCAGCCCAGCTTTCATGGATGAATATGAGAAGATTGAGGAGGAACTGCAGAAACAGTACAGCAGTTACCTAGAAAAATTCCGTAACCTGACTTATCTGGAGCAGCAGCTGGATGATCATCATAGGATAGAGCAAGAGAGGTTTGAGGTAAGAGAGTTTTGTATTCCCAAGCAAAACAGTAACTCAGCTACAGGCACTGATTTTAAAATGGATTCTCTTGTTCATTCCACTAATCATGCTTTTGCAGTAACCAGAAGACACTCATTGCCTGTAGCATTTCCCATGGTAGCAAGCTGTTCATTAACAGATGTCCT